CTCAGATTGCAGAACCCCTCGTGCCCAACAAGCAGGAGGAGAAGATTGCATTGGCTGTTTGGGCTCCTACGAGTGATGCGATTGCGTATGTTGTCGATAACAACATTAGGATTCGTGAGATCAACAATCAGAACCCTCCTATCGAGGTTACCAAGGATGGAAGCAAGGATCTGTTCTATGGAATTCCCGACTGGGTCTACGAGGAGGAGGTCTTTGCTGGTGCAACCGCTATGTGGTGGTCTGAGAACGGAAAACACTTGGCATTCCTCCGTACCAACGAGACTGAGGTCCCTGAGTACCCTCTTCAGTACTTTGCATCCAGACCGTCTGGTAAGATGCCAAAGGAGGGTCTTGAGAATTACCCCGAGCTTGACTTCATCAAGTACCCCAAGGCTGGAGCTCCTAACCCAGTTGTTGACTTGCAGTTCTTCGACTTGGCCAGGAAGCAGGTGTTCTCCGTTAACATCAAGAACGACTTCCCCGATGATGACAGATTGATCACCGAGGTTGTCTGGGCCGGTAACACACAGGTTCTTATCCGCGAGACCAACCGCGAGTCTGACCTCCTCCGTATGATCCTCATTGATGTCAGCAGCCGTTCTGGAAAGGTTGCCCGTGAAGTCAACGTTGCCGAGATCGACGGCGGTTGGTTTGAAGTTGTGTGTCACCCCATATCACTCACTATCTCTAGCACTCACTAACTCCCATAGTCGCAATCCACCCGCTATATCCCCGCCGACCCCTCCAAAGGCCGCAACGCCCCCGGCTACATCGACACCGTAATCCATGACGGTTACGATCACTTGGCTTACTTCTCTCCTCTTGACGCCAAGGATCCGGTGTTGCTCACAAAGGGTGACTGGGAAGTCGTTGATGCCCCCTCCGGTATCGACCTTAACAATGGTCTTGTCTACTTTGTCTCTACCCAGCGCTCCTCTATCGAACGCCATGTCTACTCCGTCAAGCTTGATGGAACTGACTTGAAGCCTATTACCAACACTACCCAGGATGGATTCTACGACGTCTCCTACTCCAAGGAAGGTGGATATGCTTTGCTCACCTACGACGGTCCTGGTATTCCCTGGCAAAAAGTCATCGGTATGCCTGCCGTTGACGCATCTTTCACCAAGAGAATCGAAGACAACAAAGACCTCAAGGAATTATCCACCCGTTACACTCTTCCAACATTCCACTACAGCACCATCAACATCGACGGTTTCGATCTCAACGTAGTTGAACGTCGTCCTCCCAATTTTGACGAAAACAAGAAATACCCCGTAATATTCCATGTCTACGGTGGCCCCGGCTCTCAGCAGGTTCAAAAAGCCTTCAAGATAGATTTCCAAGCATACATGGCTGGAGGATTAGACTACATAGTTGTAACCGTAGATGGACGCGGTACCGGATTCATTGGCCGCAAAGCCAGAGTTGCAGTCCGTGGTAACCTTGGACATTGGGAATCTCACGACCAAATCGCCACTGCAAAACACTATGCATCATTACCCTACGTCGACGCCTCCCGCATTGCGATCTGGGGTTGGTCATATGGAGGGTTCATGACATTGAAAACCTTGGAACAAGATGCCGGTAATACCTTTAGTTATGGAATGGCTGTTGCACCGGTAACAGATTGGCGATACTATGATTCCATTTACACTGAACGCTACATGCATACCCCTCAACATAATCCTCAGGGTTATAATAATGCAACAATTAAGGAAGTGGAAAGAGTTGGAAATTCAACTAGGTTCTTGCTAATGCATGGAGTTGCCGATGATAATGTTCACTTCCAGAACAGTCTTACGTTGTTGGATGAGTTTGATTTACGCGGGGTTGAGAATTATGATTTCCATGCTTTCCCGGATAGTGATCATAGTATTTATTTCCGTAAGTTAACCCTCTCCTTTTTTTTTTTCCTTTGCTCCAGGATGCTCCAGGAGTATATGATGGAGCAGCTAGGAATAGATTGTGGCAAAATGTAACGAATAGAACAAAACTAACTTGGAGAAAAAATAGATAATGCAAACCGTATGGTCTATGATAGGTTGAATCAGTGGATCATTAGAGCTTTCAATGGGGAGTACAAGGACCTCGATAACTTGAAGCCAAAAGGCATCAGTAAGAAGGTGTAAGAGACGAGGAAGGACACGATATAATTATACCACGAAGCTGTAGGAGGTTGTGTTTGGACTATACTGGTTATGCATTGTTATGTGGTTTGCGTTTTTGAATGTTTTGAATGTGGTTCAGCTTTTTGACAGTCATGCATGTTATGCGGTGCAATTGAGTGATGTTTTAGCAATTCTTTTCATAGAGATGCCATTCGGTGAAGGACTTGATGTTTTACGTGTAGATATTCTTAGTTTTTAATATTGGGTGTTTTTTTTGGTGATGGATATAGGTGATGATTGCGAGTGAATTATATTTAGGATTCAGAAAATCCGAATTTGTGTTAGACATTAAGCCGAGATCTGTGCTGCGCACTTCAGTTTTATTTCCAGCGACAAGCTACAAATCATCTTTCAACTTCTCCTTGCGAGGTAAATCACATATCTCTCCTCCCACTTGCACGGTAACTACATATTTTGTTCCCCACACATATTACTCACAATCCCTTTCCATGATCACTCCAAAGAATACCCCACCAGTTTCCAACGGGAGTTCCGTCTATACTCACCACTCGCTCAACGTCCTACTTCGCCAACAGCGAAGTCAACAGCGAAGTCAACCCAGCCATTGCGTTTCTAACTCCCTCGTTCTCCGCAATCGCAGCAACGGCTGCAGCTCCCGCAGTTACGGCACCAGCAACTGGAATTAAAACGGCTCCTAGCATACCCATGCTTTGAAGTATCGCGAACGCACTACCGGCTGCTACAGAGCCACCGATGTAGGACTGTCAAGCGGCTGCAATCGACCCTGTTGTTGTATATACAATTATACAGCAGTATTTTTACTCAGGCAAGAAGACACTTACAAATCCAGGGATCAAGAGAATGAATCCCTACCGGCAACCGGACCCAAGGATCCAAACCCAACCATGGCCAGTGGATTAGCCAATTTGACATTTTTGTTGTGATCCGATGTGAAATAGAAGATGGAAGAAGATGGAATAAAGGTGGGGTGGGTGAGAAGGATGATGGAAGAGTCGTTGGGAGCTCAAACATATGCGGAGAGGGTTCAGATATGGATGGAGGTGCATGTAGGAATCAGGATTAAGCAATGTGCTACAGGTTTTGCTAGGCAGAAGCGTATTAGCAAGCTAAACGCGTGAGCTGAGTGTTTCGTACCGGAAGGAATAAGATATAGTTCTGGAACCGTAAGTGATTGCTGGAAAAACATTATAAAGTGGATTACAATATAAAAATTGTGCATTTACAGTAACTGTGATTGTACCTTTGAAAAGTACATGGGTACTTAAATTAGCCGATGGTGGCAGGACTCAAATGTTCCTAATAATTCACCCGTCCCTTCCTTATTGGAGTATCTTCTTTCCCCTTCGAGGAATATAGACTCTATCAGTATATACACAGTACCGTAATTCAACGTAGACTGTAGATATAAGCCCTCACACCCACCAGCCTACAGCACAAGTAACAAAAGAGTAACGCGTATCTAGATCCAGGTCGTTCTTGACCCCGATCACCACCACACAAACATACACAGCCTTGATAAATACCTGCTTCAATCAACGTCGATATTTACCACTCTCTTACAATATCACATTCACTACGAACCATCAATGGAATTTCAAGACTTCTCCCGCTCTCCAATCTTCATGCCGCCAGAGTTGATTCTCAAAAATGGTAAACATGCCACTCCTGGGATTCTGGCCTCAATTTGTCGTGCCAGTGCCGAATGGACCTATCTTCCAACCAGCATCCTATACAAACAGGGAGTCAAGACCTTCAAAACTCATTCAACTGAACACCACCCAGCTTGAAGTTTGTTGGTGGATTACCAGGTATTTACGTTTAAATATCCCTTCTTTATAATGTTTCTATCACAAATAGCTAGTGCCTCTGCTCGATCACATGTGATAAACCAAAGATGTCCATTGGGGTTATCATTACGGCCCACCAAAACTGTAGGACACTGTAACCCGTACAAAAATCAGTGTGTGGTGCATGATACACGCAAGACTTTCGGCCCAAAGCGACCAAAAACTCATGAAGTGATCCGGGATATGATGTTTACTGAAACCTGCAAGACAATAAGTAAATGTTTCTACAAGTTTATGATGCTTTAGTGGTATCATGCATATGCATCACATATCTATGTTTACGCCGTTGTAATGAACTGAAAGTTTTGACAATAGATAATTGCTGTTGCGTCATAAAAAATGGTCATATGTGTTATTGTTAAAGTCCCAGCAACTTGGTGTCGTGGCGCAATGGTAGCGCGTTGGCTTCCGGTGCCATAGGAGCATGATTGCCAAAGGCTGCAGGTTCGAGTCCTGCCGGTATCGCTTTTACCATTTCTGTATTCTGGATCTTTTTTTTCTCCGCCCTTTTTGGTCTGGATGAGTTGATTCTGTTTGACTTGATAACCAATTCTGATGCTTAGCGTTATGATTCTTGTCATCGTTTTAGCGTCAAGAAAGGAGGACGAGTACATGTTGCCTTGCCTTTTGTAACCATTCAACAGGTGCCTCGGATATCAAGTCATATCATCTGTCTAAACTCGAATGATAGCACGGTTATGAATCGCGATTTATTTAATATGATCGCTATAGCCCGCTTTAGCAATCAATGATGATGGTTGTACATACGTGATCCTTCATGAATCTAACTTCTTAAGCCTCTTCAGCTTCATCATCCATCCATCAAAAAATCAAAATCACAGTATCACGTCCTCGCTTCTCATACAATATCGGCAAGTCATTCTTCCAACTCTAGGCTTGGACCCTGGAAATTAGTCTACCCGACCCAGGAAACGGATTATCGTAGAGGACGACGGAAATTGACAAAGGAGCCACGAAAATGAACCTCAGCGAGTGACAATGACTATTTTCAGAATATAATTAGAGACCTCTTGTATGTGAGACAAGTGTAATAACCACTACACCAAGTTATCCAGGGTGTAGTATATATATAATATATATGATGGCGGAACGCTGAAATCTACACTGAGAGTCCACGCTGATCTCCTTTCCCTGATTAACCGAGCATGTTTTTGGACAGACCGAGTAATGCATAGTGGGACCGCGAGCGACGGGTAAGCCAGGGGGAAGTGCGGGGTCTTGCTTCACCAAGTATCACTCGTATTATAACTCAAGTAGCTGAGTAGACATGTAACATCACTCGGTATGTACCGAAAGTAGTCTATGTACATAGTAGGGGTCCCCTTAATCCACAGAAACCCTATCCCATTGATATTCAAGTGAACGATCCGCGCTTCTCCTCCCAAGTGTTGGCTTTTTCTTATATGATTTTCGCTCTGTACATTTAATGCAATCCTCGTCATCTACAGAACTTGAGAGCGCATTTTTTCCTCTCTTGGTTGTGGTTGCGTTGAAAGCATTGCCGAAGTGGTTTGGTTTCAGTGTTCCGCCACCATATATGTTCGTCACGCGTTCTTCTAGCTACAGATACCCGTACTAACGGTTCGATCTAACCTTTCTCTCTTTACATTGGGGCATTCCAATAAAACGTTTTCTACAAGCATGAATTTATTGGAGGATTCTGTCATTCAGTTGCAGGACCACACATCTCTCACTACGTTGTTGCTACCAGGCCTGCATTAACGTGAAATCTACGGCAACGAATTTTGTATATTGGGAGACGAAATGATTTTATCGAAAAAACAACCGCTACTACAACAAACCGTCGCCATAACAACGCATCTAACCGCCCACGGGCATACAGGTAGAGATATCCCACAAAATTGCAAGCACGCCTCAAATGGTATACATGTCTAGTTGCACGTGCCCTATCAGAAAAGCTTAAATTCCTGTTTTTACAGATGCATGCGATCAAACTTCAATGGCCAATCCTGTGTTACCGGAAACCGAACCAATCGAGGAGCTTGCAGCGAGGCCTCAATAGAAAGTTTCTGACAGATAATTTGTCAGATACCCTTTTGTCTTCTTTTTTCCCATAGAGCCTTGTTAATCTTCTTGAATCATGAGAAAATCGGTTGAAATATCAAACGCTGGTATTGGAAGGTACTGTTTGAATTGCTAACGAACCTGTAATGCGAAATAAAACAAATAATTGTATGTAGTTAGAGGTTTGAAACTTAGATAACCGGCACAGCTGCTGATAATAAATACATAGCACGCTAGATTTTATATAGGCGTCACATCATTACTGATTCACTAATTTCATCCGAAGTAACACATGGACCATTTATCAGGAAATATTCAAGCGACGATGCGCGGTACTGGAGTACTTATCTATCAAGGGACATTCGAAGCCAGGGTTCAGTACCATTAGAAGCCGAGATCCAAGAGAGATCATAGAGGAATGCTGTGTAACGATTGCAAAAAGAGGTCGGAGCGAAATCGAGGTCAATGCAAAGGATAGCGATGGAAAGACGGCATTTATTTGGGCATGCCAGTATGACCGTGAAGGTGTTGTAAAGCTGCTACCTGCTCAAGCCAGTATCGAGGTTGATTCAAAGAATACCGACGGAAGGACGGCTTTCTTGTGGGCCTGCAGGTATGGCTACGAAGGGGTTGTGAAACTATTACTTGCTAGCGACGATTTCGAGGTTAATTCAAAGGATAACGTTGGCAAGACCGCGTTGGTATGGGCATGCCTGAATGGCCATGAAGGTGTTGTCAAGCTGCTGCTAGCTCGGTGCGACATCGAGGTCAATGAAACGGATAACGATGGAAACACAGCGCCATCATTAGCAAAAATGTATGGTCGTAATAAAATTGAAAAACAACTTCGGGACTTTCTCAACAACCGGAAGACCGTTTAGCTAGCTATATTTCTTCGTATTACTGGTTGAACTCTGGCAAACACATCTTTTGTACAATAATTGTATCTGTATATTGCATGTTAATTAGTAAAACACGAAAATCATTCGTTCTTATTTGCGCTAGTGGCACAGCAAGCCAAAGAGGTATGATAGAAGAGTACTTTTTGGCTTTAAAATTATGATCTCCAAGGCTCCATTTTAATCTTCAGATCAAAGCTTTGACAGGCAATAGCCGTAGCTAAATACTGCAGAATGATTTATAACTCTACCATAACCTATTAACCGATTCGATTCCGAGGGTGAACTGCACAGTACTAAAACGTTTGAGCGTCTCGATACTTTCCTTCCGGTATGTCACTGAAAAGTGACTATATTATACTGTCAAAAGTCGCCTAGAGTTCCAGTATCTTGGCCGCACTTGAGGCTTACGTCACTGGCCCGTGGAGGTGGGGTTTCCACATTGGGTATATCTCCCTCTATAGACGCGTAGAGCTAGATTACTATTGGTATGAATGAATGCACTCCTCAACCACCTTTCTCTCGCGTTCCCGTTTCACATATACCTTGTTCATTTGTACAAAGTTCCCGAACTTATCGCTATCCATATTGTGCATAATGTCTCGCCGATGAGTAAAGCGTCATAAACAACCCACAAACTCCAACAACTCTGACGAACCCCAAGGAAATCTAGAGCATCCCATTAATCTCTGTACAAGACTAATTTACCATTCCAGTAAATTTCATATTTTCCACTACAATCCGCTTCAAATTCCCAAATCCTCCGCCCAGTCTCGTGATAATTCACGTCCATAATCACCTTGTATTTCCTATATTTCCTATATTTGCTATATTTCCAATGTTTCTCCTTCATATAATCTGTAGTAGTGGGTTATAGAAACTTCAGAGGGGTCATAGGCACTTTTGTACATGGTGCTACTAAATTATTGTCGAGATTGTTGATATTTTTGTTATCCCATTACGTTTTGAGACGTTTGGAAGGAAAATCATTTGGCGGGTTTGACAGTAAGGCATTTGAAGGAGGGGTGCAGACTTACTGGGGGGTGAAGGGGGTTTTGGGAGGAATGCAAATGCAGTTCGCAGAGAACATACAATAGAGGATTTGGGGTTGAGACAGAGTCCGTGGTTCAAGGATTCCCGGATTCCCCGAGCGGATGTAGCTCATGGAGTTCACGACGTTAACAGGGCACGTCAAAAGTATCCACGAAATGTGATGTATCATTTGCATACAATGTATATACGCTTCAATTAATTTTAGACCGCGCCAAGAAATTCGGATTTTACTGTTTAACCGACTCCCGAGTGGTAATACATGATCGCAGTTATTCTATTGGTGTATGTACTTTATGTTACAACAAGCGAATTTTCAGGGGGTTTTAAGATAAATTTTATTTCTGGATACAGCCAAACCTTTTTATAAAATATACATATAGAAAAACGCAGAAACAAGCCAGGTGATATGAACTTTTCATACACAAGCCCCCGTTCGCCTGCCGTACACTCATTCACGAAGATTGCGGCATCTGTTGAGTCTTGACGGATGACAGCAGTCGTAGGGGCCGAAAGCCTCCGTGACGCTGGATAATTCCACAATATACATATAGCTGCTATAACCAACTCCATTCTCTACAGGCTGTCTACAAATCCCCTTGCAATGCATTTTTCCAGTTTTTCCCCATGGAAAGATACGTACATATTTAATTTTGCGTTCATGAGTAAAATGAGATACCTCAATATTTCTAACGGCTTCTAGAAACTTAATGCAGCGGTCTTTACTTCTCAAACCCGCAAGAGCTTGTAGAAACTATACCGCCATTGACCAGAATATGGCCTGTTTGTTCGGCAGATTAGTAAGGAGGATTGAGGATTGAGGATTGCAGGTTCACAGTTTTCGGGACCCACGTTACGGATTGACGATGATTAATAACTAACTAATGAAGATTCAGTATTTTTAAAATTTCCGAAACGTTCGGCATTTTGAAATTCCCGGGGGGGTGGGGGGGGTGGGGGATTGCGAGTTCGTGTGGATGAAGAAGTGAGGAGGTCAAGTACCGCCAGAACTGACGGGACTCACAAGGTTCACAGAGCTCACCGGACTCATGAGGATACTATGGTACTTCAGCTAATTTCAGGAAGCATAATATATCCTTCGAATCAGCTCTAAATTCTGCACTTTGAATTGATTTTAGAACAGCCGAAGAAATTTCAATTCCATCGTATATCGAGTGACGTATGATGACCACGAGGATTTTATGTACAGGTGTACGTACTTTATGTCACGAAGAAAATCATACGAGCAAAATTGCAGGAAGTTTCAGGATTTAATTCACTCTCAGCCCAAGCCCGTTTATGTTCATCCGTAATCTCGTCTCTCTCAAGTTCAAAAAGTATGCATATTTGTATTTGTATTTCGCTTCGTTATCCCCCCCCCCCCCCCCCCCTTCGTATGTAAGTATTTCCAAATTCCCATTCATCCCTGCTAGCTAACTATGCGTCTCAAGTGCCAAGTGCTAAGTACATATGTATAATTTCCAATCCCTATTTCTCCAGCAAATCCCATTCTTCTCCACCTATGAGTTTACTCTACCTATCACATTTATTTAGCAACCAAATTCCATTACAACCCGCCGTATTTTTCCACGCAATACATTCCCCAGCCGTACAAAGAAAAAGATATATGCAATTCATACACGATAGTTCCATACTGTAATGTAAATGAAGCCAAAGAAAGCTAGTAAATATCCTGATATCCAAAGATTGTAAGTAGCAAGAGCCCCCTGTGAGAGCCGAAATAATATGCAAAGTAAAAGCCAACAGATTCTACCACTGGAACGTCATCAAAGCTGGGTTCAGAGCAATGGGTAATAGCATGTGAGATCCCGCTACTGTCGCCATGGGCAATATAGCAACGAAATCCTTGATCCTCCAGGTCTCTGGCACAAAATCCGCGGTAGCCAAAATAATCATCCCAGCAATTGCTAAGCTGGAAAACAAAAATGAAAACTTGAACTTCTTGAGAACCTTCGGAACCTCAATGAAAAAGTTCGAGTACTCAACTTCCTTTGCTGTTGCTCCCCACGTCATATCGATTTCAAACATATGGGCAAGCAATGCCTGAGAGACATGTA